ATATATATATATAGTTTTTTCATTTGCATTTTTTGCAGTTTTATTGCGTTTAAATATTTATTTTGTTCCATTTAAAAGCTTTTCTTTTCTTTTCTTTTGCAGAGACTTTGTGAATGGCTTACTAATAAAGGTAAGGAAAAGGTGATTAATTTCATCGATCGTGTGTTAGAAACAGATGATGACGACAAAAAGAAAAGATCCGTCTCTGATCTGTATGAACAAGTCAAAGACTATTTCAAGGATTTGGATTTAGACCTGAAGCAAAAATTCTTCAAATTCGGAGAATGGGTGAAAGAAGTTCTCAAGAAAGGTTTGGACAAATCAAAGAGCAGAATTGAGAAAGTTAAAACCATTGCTAAACAAGTAAGTGAAATAAATGTTTATTATGAAAAGTGTATAATTCTCTCTTCGCTTATAATAATTTCTAAGGTTTAAATTTTCTTTGCATGCTTAAGCTTATTTCTTTTTAACTTTGAACAGTTAAATACCCTCTCAGCCACTATGGTTTCTCTTATTCTGTTTCTTTTCTTTTTTCTCTTTCGGTTAATGAATTTTTTAGTTATATTTCGCACCTTTATTTTTGCAATTTTAATCGGCAACTTTTTATTTTATATTTCGAATCACTTTCGTTTCTTTTCATTCATGTCTGACAAGTCTTGAAAATGAGCATCTGTTTTTGAGCACTTGAAAATAATCTACTGTTATTTCTTATTTATATATTTTTGATGCGAATGAAATTCCGCAATAAGGTAACATCGTAAGTGGTTTGTTTGTGTTGAATGATCCTATGCAAGCTGTTTTTATATTAATTTTTACATTGGAAATGTAATATTTCTAATTACTCGGGAGACGTAAGTGTTCTAAATCACAAAGTAGAAGAAGACCATTTTGTGGTGGCATTTTTGTACTTAGATGAGAGGAAAAATCATGAATATATTTCCCAGTAAACACTGTGTTAACATACTATTATCTGTTATCTGTTATTATTAAATATTTATCATGCCAATTTAGGGAAAAACGTATTATTCAGTCATAGTACGAAATGCAACAAACATTCTCAGAAATATCGGTTAACTATAAATGCATGCTATAATGCGGATATCCAAAATAAAATATTGGGACCTTGAAATATAATACTCTGCAAATTTGTTGAATTTTTTAGAAATGTTAAATTAGTTTTCTGTTCGTTAAAGCATAGTATTGGGAATGATATGATGGTTATAAAGTATGATAAGATTTCTGAACTTCACTTCATGTTTTAAGATTATTGCAAATTTTAGCAATAAATTGGTCCATCTTACTCGGAGTTTCTGAGAGTATAAAGCTCGATCATAAGCTGGAACATATACAATCTACTTGAATGATACTCAATCCTTTAGTTGTATTTCCGAAACAGGACATTTTGCTTATATTTCTTTATTTATCCTACGCTGTAAGAAAAAAGTATGATAAAAACTGCTAGAATTTGGTAAAATATACCCACTATTTGTTGGCATGTTTCTGACTCTTTAATTTCTAAACTTTCATTATTGTTAAACTATTATTTACAAAAAATAAATGGTTTACAATGCAATAAAAAGTACCAATTATAGCATATAAATAAATATAAATTAAAATAGAAAGTCAAGATATATACTCCAGCAATATTTTAAAACTATTTATGCAATGTTGTTTTTTTTTAAATTTATTGTTAGAACTATTGTTTTCTTTTCTAGCTTCTTGATAAAAGTAACGACATTAGTAAAGAAGTTGCTGAGCAGGCTTTAGATTATTTGAGAGATTTCAAGGAAGAACTAGGAGAATTATACGAAAAACTCTACGGAAAGCTTATGGAACGGATCATGGATTACACTGATTAACAATATGTATTGATCGTAAATAAATTTTAAATATTAATCGATGGAAGACAGTTGTATATTTTATTACACTAAACAATTGCAAACTTTAGTATTTAACTGATATTTAGCTTTGAAAAATAAATCTGTTAATATTATGTTGAATGTTAATTTATTGAGATAAACATTCATGATATCACATCAATTCGTCGCGCTCAACTAACTGCCAGAATAGTATCCACGGGCACAAATCGTCACGCCAATTACACTGTAAAAATTAGATATTTAAGTTTCAAGAAACTTTCTTCGTGAATAACGGGATTCGAACTCAGGATCTTTCTGATACGAGGCTAACTTTCTGATGATCGTATATTGGTCGACTTACTTTTCGAATCGTCTAGTTTTCATCCCAGTTTCGTCATTCCAGTTAACAATCTGAATACACAACGATGAGGTTTTGAATTGTGGAAACATTTTCATCATACATTTGAGAGATTATGTTTCGTCACAGAACACGTGATTTCACGACGAGATTCTCTAAGTTAATGAAATAGAGCTCATGGATTGTTGAATTGTCAAAAGTGAGAGTTTTATTTCAGATAGTGCATTATCATTGAGAAAACAATAGATTCACGTACTATTTGACTGCTTAGGATAACCATAAATTATTATAAATGAGTTAGGAGTTTTGATTGTTTAGCGTTAAACTATTGAAAATTAAACAATGTATTTATTTGTTAAATACTAACATGTTTGATGAGATTTTTCCATAATTAACACATAGAGTTATATATTTTATTAAATTAAGATTATTTCATTATAAAAATATTAATTAGTGCTTATCCTTTTTTAGCTGTGAAATAAAAATCTATAAATATTTTGTCCGATTTCGAAAAAACATTCATGCTATCACGTCAATTTGTCGCATTCAATTCCTCCGAAGGCGATTAATTGTAGCAACAAACGCAATATGTCACGCCGAATGTTATTATTGAAAATAATTATGCATTGTTGTACTAATTGTTAGCAATATATTGTAACCATGAACTGTTAAAATTGAGTTGGGAGCCTTGACTGTTCAGCGCTGAGCAATTGAAATTTAAGTATTATATGCAGTTGTTAAATATTAACAGTTAAATTTGGTGTCAGTTTTTTTAAAATTAACAAATAAAAGTTTAGATTATTTCATATTCAACACGTACAATCTGGCAACACATTTATGTGTAGATTCGAACAATGTAGTTAATAGTTAGAAGCTTAGATTTTTTACTCTTCAATAATTAAGATTAGACAATTTAAATGGTAAATTTAAACAATTAAATTCAAAGACATTATGTTATACTTAACAATTAGAAATTTTGGTTATTTAATTTTGGACAACGTCAAGTATAACAATCTATAGATATCTGCATAATTAATTACTATAAATAATTAACATTTAATGAATTTTTTTTATAAATGACAGTTGAGAGTTCTGGTTGCTAATCGTAGCAATATCTAAGATCGTTAAATACACTGGTTATCATAAATTAAGGAAAAATCACAAAAATAGCGATAACTCTTTCAAAAGTAAGCCAAACCGTGCAAAATTTGCATATGTTGTCCACTAAGAGTAGCTGAGTAAAATTGCAATATGCAAATTAGTGGCGCTGCACTCGGCTTACGTCATCTGCCTGGAGCATAAAAGTCCAAGTTTGAGAGAAAGCACACAAATTTTACTGTGATTGCGACATTGAAAATCTGAGATAGCCAATTCGTAATAATGACCTCTAGGCATCATTTGCCTGAAGAACTACGATGGAGAGCCATCGGGAGACTAGAGGCAGGGCAGAGTCAATCAGAAGTGGCCAGATGGCTAAATGTGAGTCCATCTGTGGTTCATAGACTTTGGAGGCAATTTCAAACCACAGATTCGGCATCTAGGAGGTTCAGTCAAGGACGGCCAACTGTTACGACCAGTGCCGATGACCGATATTTGACATTAAGTGCACGCAGGAATAGAACCGCTACTCCGACACATCTTAGATCCTCTCTTGCTGCAGCCACCGGAAGGTTGGTGTCAACGTCAACTGTGCGCAGAAGGCTCCACGAAGGTGGTCTGTATGCGAGACGACCAGCCATTTGCGTGCCGCTCACATCACGCCATAGGAGAGACCGTTTGCAGTGGGCCCGACAACATGTCCACTGGACGTCAGATCAATGGAGGCCTGTTCTCTTTACGGATGAGTCCAGGTTTAGTCTAGAAAGTGACAGTAGACGTTATTTGATATGGAGAGAACCTGGGACCCGTTATCATCCATCAAACATCCGTGAAAGAGATGCATACGGAAGAGGCAGTGTCTGTGTTTGGGGAGGCATATCCTTAGGAGGGCGCACATACCTCCATGTCTTTCCAAGGGGAACCGTGAATGCTCAGGTTTATCGAGACAACATCCTTGATGCTTATGTGCGCCCATATGCCGGGGCAATTGGTGATTGCTTCCTGTTACAGGACGATAATGCAAGACCACACAGAGCTCGCATTGTTGATGATTATCTTCAACAGGAAACAATTACTCGCATGGAGTGGCCAGCTCGATCCCCGGACTTGAATCCTATCGAGCACGTTTGGGATGCTCTAGGGAGGCGTGTATCTGCCATCAATCCGCCCCCTCAGACCCTTGCCACGCTTGCAACTGCTTTACAAGAGCAATGGCTCTCACTTCCTATTGAACTGATAGACCGCATAATTGAAAGCATCACACATCGCTGTTTGTGCTGTATTGCTTCTAGAGGCAATCATATTCCATATTAAAGGTACTTTTTCTATTGCAAACCGATACTTCCAATTTGTTTATTTTATACATGTGCTAATTTCTATACTACTATTAATGTCTGATAATTTCTTTTTATGTTGTTTAATACCTTACTATGTGTTGTATATTGTGGGTAAGTTTCATAAAATTCCATGTGTAATTTCTTGAGTTATCGCGATTTTTGTGAATTTTCCTTAATTTATGATAACCAGTGTATGAGTAATTGAAATTTGACGATATTTTCTTGCATTTTATAATCAATTAAAACAGCAGGTAAAGTTTGTTTTATGTTAAACAATTGAAAGGTAAACAGCATCAGTCAAGGACCAAATTTGGAGGATGGACTTGTTAGCTTGTTCCTTGAATTCTCATTAACCAGGGTGTTATACCGTTAGCCCGAGCAATCTGTCTCTTAAATGGCAAAATTGTAATAAAAACGTGGGTATATATTGTGATAATTAAAGTATTTCCATACATTTTGCAAACGTCAACGCTGACGATGTAATACTTAATTGTAATCTATGAGCAATTGAAATTAAATGAAATTTGCTTTTGGTATGACATTATTAACATTGAGAAGTTAGAGTCATTTAATGTTCAATATAGTTTTGGCGATACATTTAATGGTTCAATTTTAAATATTTGAAAGAAAAAGTTACTTTAAATAAATGAACAATTGTTTTTAATATTTTTATTTTATAATTTTATAACCGTCGTTAAACAGCCGACCTAATTTAATGGGTTTACGACTACTAATGTTCAACAACGTAGCCTTGTAATTGCGAAAACAAACCAGAAGACAAGGGCACTCCTGGATCAAGTATTAGGAGAAATTTGCTTTCGGGAGGACATTTTGATGGAATTAACCCGCATTTGCGTTACACGGAGAGGAAGACCACGAGAACCTCCCACAGTTAGCCTGATGGCAAGGGGACTTTAACCCATGATCCGCATACCACTGAGTATATTTCCCGTCAGCACAGTGCAAACCGGATGCAGAATTCGTATCGACTGGGATTCGAACCAGGTTCACCTCATTGAAAGGTGAACGTTCTATCCCCTGAGTCATAGCGATTCTAATATTTTTATTTATTGTTTTGACAGTATATTGCCGGGATAGCCTGGTTCGTAGGGCACTGGGCCAATGCCTAAGAGTTCGTGGGATCGATCCTCGCCGGCCGAAGACTCCCCGTGCAGTAAAGGGTGACTGATGCACGTTAAATCTGTCGAGTCGCAAAATGCTCCATGTTCCCATAGCAAATCAATACCTCTGGGGGATACTGATTTAGGAGTTTCCTTGTCTTCTGGATTGGTTCAAAATTGCAAAGCTATGGAGTTGAACATTAGTAGTCGTAAACCCAAAATTGAGTCGGCTGTTCAACGACGGATACAAAAAGAAAAACATATATAGTAAAACATTTTAATGGCTAACTAAATAATAGATGTTCAACAACGTATATAAAATAAAATATAAAATCGTAACAGTATCTCTTATGTAACAGTATCTCTTACTTTATTACAGATGTCAATTGTCATTGACAACCATCGGAATTTTGAGGGAACCAAAGGTATTTTAGATTTGATTTTTAAATAAAAAAATATATGTTTAATTAAATATGAATTGAGTTTTTCAAAAAAAAAATTAAAAACAAGCTGGTTTCGAAAGCAAGTTATCTACATAAATTTAATTTGGGTTTTTGTGAGTCATTCACTAAATAATTGTCTTAACTTCAGTAGCTGTTACAATGTCTTTTTTAAACAGGCATTTATGACAAATTTCAATTCAAACTGCCCCTTGAAATAAATATTTAGCGTTTTTTCAGTTTGCTATGCAACCTTTGAGACATTAAGCTCATAGTAGACGTTTAAGATAGGGCTATACAGATGGAAATATACATTTAATAGAAAAACTAAATGTAACGAGCTCAATATTTAAGGATACTCAATTTAGGCCAAAAGCTCAAATGGAAAATCTTTGCACAATTTTTTGATATTAGGCACTGATCATGTTTATTTCGTTTGCAGGAAAAATTTCAATTTTAGATATCACGAAAGACGATTAAAATAATTAGACGAATTTTTACGAATTTTTTTTCAAAGGGTAAAAATTTAACTAAATGCCCAGTGGGAACAAATTGACCTCCTCTTAGTATTTTAAGTGTTAATAAGTACGATGCAATTTTAAAAAATGACATGCATATTTTGATTTTGTTTCATTTATATTCTCGGGAACAAATTTTCATTCTGTTTAGATTGTTAGTAGATATGATCAAAACTAAATTGCATTAAAAACCCAGATATGATACAATATTTGAGCGTTATAGTGGCAAACAATTTATGTGTAAGCTATGCGTGCTATAGTTTTTAATAAACTCTGAAAAAAAAGAAAGATTATCATCTAGGATACAAAAAAGGTAGGTCCCCCCACTTTATGTTTAAATATAATTAAAATACTTTTAACCAGAAAACAATATTTTGTTCTCATTGCATTTGAGAACTAACTACTCATCCTATGAATAGGGGAAATAATTTGCAAAAATATATTTTTGAAAAATATTTAGCTTTCACAGTTTTTAGCTCTAATTGTTTTATTTAAAATTCAGAACAAAAAAATGGCCCACATTTTTTTTAATATTTAATATTAAGTTTATTTATACATTTTTTTTCGGAATATAATTTTATATTTAACACTTTTACTTTCAAGTAGAAACAAAAATAATTTTGTTACATTAAATATACCTTTAATGATGCAATCTTTTTATGTTATTTTCATTGATTTATAAATACTCCTAAACTGTCATTTACCTGGTTCTTTCACGAAACTTTTCAATTGTGTAAGGATATGCCTTTGAGTTTCTTGCAGGATTTCAAAGTGTTGTTCAGTACTAGTTAATTGATTATTTTATTCACCCCGTACAAAAAGCGGGTATTCAGCTGGTATTACTATAAAATACTGTTATCAAACTTCTTTTCTTTCAACAAATTCCATGCGATCAGAAAATGCTGGAAATTTTATGTTACTGTATTGTAATTAAATTTCTGGCAAAAAAAAATTCTGCTTAATAAAACCAAAGAAAATGGTATTTAAACCCTTGTTGGCAAATTTTTTCACTCATTTAGTAATGATTTAAGTGAGCTCTGGTTTTCAAAATCATATTCCTTATTACCACACATTAAGTAAAAAATACAAGACTGAACCGTAATCTTAGCCAAATAATCGTTTTTTATGACATTCTGTAAGGTATCATGAAAAAAAAATAATTATATTTTACCACAATCACCAAATTTTGTTACCTATTATGAAGCCATATTTTATTGTTTATTTCACCAAAATCATTGCCGAAGTGCGTCCTTAAAAATTACCGAATTTTCTAGTGTTCCCACACAGAGCTAGTAAAAACAATAAATTTATCATTGTTCTAATAGTTTGGACCATATTTTTTCCTCAATGCAAAATTCATACTTCTTTACAGTAAATGTATGATTTTTAGCTAATCGTTATTTAACACACAGAATTCATAAAATCTAAATTTTTCTTTGCACGGCTAATAATTTAATTTTATCTTCGATATATAAAACAGCTGTAAAGTTTCCGTTTCAATCCTATTTCCTTAAAGAGAGCACTGCTGATTCTTGTGCATCTGATAATTGTGAGAAGCAAATCATGATTACTGATTCTTAATTTATGATTTAAAATTTTCGTAGCAATAATTTGCAAGTAATAGGGTAAAGGTATTAATCAGCACAAATAAATTTTTTAATATTATACAGTCAAATTGCCAACTGCTATTATTTGAAATAAGGATAATAAGAATAATTGTAAAATTACACTAAGGATTATACATTCTAGAAAAGACAGCCAAGTTTTCTTGTAAATGCACAGTGTCACAAGTAATATAATGAATAATAAATATAAAAGTTATTTAAATATTATGTCAGTATATGTTTATTAAAATTTTTTTATCTTTGAAGTATGCATCCTTATATGATTTATCATGATTAAAATTTTATATCTTTATATGATATCGAAAACAACATGTTTATTACATTTTGTACCGTTTTAGCTTTATCTTACAAAAAAAAAAACAATTGTGTTTACTTATATTTTATATAATTTTTCACCCTTTTATCAATAATTCCTATCCGTGAGAAACAAGCACATGTTTAGGAAAAATAAAATGTGTTTCATGATAACATTTATTGTTTAATTTTTTTTTATTTTTAACCCTTGAACTTCCTGCTTCTATAAAACCGCTGTCCATTATTATTTTTTTTTCTCATTTTGTTTTCTTTCCAGGTAATTGTTTCATTCCAAATTATTTTTCAATACATAGTAACCAACTTGTCATTATATATATATATATATATATAGATATATTTTCCTGATTTTTGTAATATGTATTGAATTTGTTACATGCAGTGGAACCTACACACAACCCTTTGAAAATCGATGTATTTGTGCAGTCATTATTAAATTATGCTGATAAATCATTTTCTCATGCATTTGCTGCAATAGCAAAGTGAGTTATTTATTTCCTTGAATATTTTATTTAATATCTAATGGGTTTTTTTTTTTAGTCAGTAATGTCAATATTGTTATAATACAATATGATTCTTAAAAAGTTAGTGCTCTAAATATCAGGTTGAAAATAAAATATTGATAATAAATACTTTTTATTTGTCATGAAATTATTGACATATGAATTATCATAGGGTTTGTTTTCTTGTTAGAAACAAGCTGTTGTTCAAATTGGTGGTTTATATAAGATAATTTATTTTCTCAGTTTTTTGTATTTAAGTAAATTACAATATGTTTTATGTGGATATCATGCTGTTATTAAAGTCTTATCCACATCAGAAGAAGCCCAAATTTGTATTTTGCGAAGCATGTTTGAACTCTGGCATGCTCATCAACAGGTTTGTTCATTTTATTTTTTATTGCATTTTCTTTTCCTTTCCTGTTAAATTTATTTTTGTTGTTGACACCTCAACACTAATTATTGATGACTGATGCATACAAAAGTTTGGACCCTCTTAAAAAGTAATCACATCAGCAGGAGTGGAATAGATTAAAGGTAGAAGACTTGTGATCCATTGTTGAAGTGTTTAA